CTCTCTCATCTTTTTAAGTGGGAGAACTTGCACAATTGGTGGCTGACTAAATATTTTTTTGCCCCACTGTATATCTTTTTACTGAATGTGGATTATAAGCTTTTTATGGCTATACTTGCAAAGAGGTTAAATGTTTTTTTAACTCATCTAATATATTCTGACCTGACTGGATTTGTCCTAAAGAAATACATGAGAGATAATATCAGGTATATTTTGAATGCTATTGATAATATAAATAAGAAAAACAGGAAAGTGGCTATGATTTTCCTTGGTACAGAGAAAGCTGGTAATAATTTGGAATGGCCCTTCATATTCTGTACTTTGAAGAAGATGAAATGTAGTTTGTTTTTTCATAGAGAACAGATATAAAGAACAAGAAGCTAAGATAGTGGTATTTGGTCTTTTATCACAAAAAGTGTATTTTAATGAATGGAACAAGACATGGTTACTACCCTCTGTCCTTCCTTATGTTTATTGGCACAGGAATCATCAGCAAGAAAATATGATGAGAAAATAAATGTAAAGTTCTGCATTTAGGTAAGAAAACTGAAAAGGGTGGGGAGATTCAGCTTGGCAGCAGTACATGTGAAAGGGGTCTGGGTATCCTTGTTGGCCACAAGTTAAACATGAGCTAGCAATGTGTTGCCTTTAAAAACAACAATGAATGCTATCTTGGGTGTATTAACAGGTGATACTTCCAGATTGTGGGAAGTAATTGTACACCGGTCAGACTCCTTTTGGTGTACTATGTCTTGTTCTCAGCAGCACAGTTCAAAAAGAATAGTGACAAATTGGAGCAAGTTCAAAAGGAGGTTATGAAAATGATGCAGAATCTGGAAACCAAGCCCTATGAGGAATGGTGAAAGGATCTGCAGGTGTTTAGCCTATAGAAAAAATGGCTGAGGGGAGATATGACAGCAGTCTTCAAATAGCTGAAGGATTTGTTCATTGATTTAAACAATTTATATAGCTGTCCATCTCACTCTAGGTGATACACAGAGTTAAAGTTAAAACTTGAGGGGGAAAAACAATTTACTAAATATACAAACTCAAATATATGTGCCTGGATTTTAAAAAATCAACCACTTTCAATCAATAAGACAGAACTAAGCCAACCAACCAACACAGTAGAGCAGTTATTTTCTAGTGTTCCAAAGGGCAACACCAAAACCAGAACTTAGAAGGAAGTACATTCAGACTAGATATCAGGAGGAATTTCCTGACTGTACAAGTTGTCAGCCAATGGGACAGAATACCACATGAAGTGATTAATTCATCTGTCAGAGATGCTGCATTGGATGCTGCAATGAGCAGGAAGCTGGACTAGATTACCTCTATGGTATAAACTCTGTGATACTGTGAAAGTAGAATGACTATAAGAAGAAAAAGTATATGTTCCAATAGAATGAATGGAAAATGAATGTAAGGAAAGATAATGTAGAAGCTGCCAGGAACAGCATTGTGAAAAGAATTGTTTGTGACAGTTGTAACAAAGCTGTTATTGTTCCCCTGTATAGGGAGAAAGTTAGCAAAAACTTTAGGTGGATAAGTTTGAGTGTACCTGGGAAAGTGGCAGAACTCTGTTATCTGTCTTCTCTTTTAATGAGCAAAATCTGAGCAATACAGTACAGGTTTATGCAAGGCAGGAAATATGTAGATCATATTTGCTGTTGAGCACATATGTGTGAGAAAGACAGGTCATTGTACATTTAAATAGGCTTGAATTCTGGAATGACTTGAGCAAATATGGAGTTGAAGTTTGGTTACTGAATGTGGTAAGAGAGGTATATATTGAAAATAAAACATGAATGAGAATATATTGAATGATTACCAAAAGATTGGACATTGGGCAAGGTGTAAAACAAAGATCTGTGATGTCTCCTTGGTTGTTTAATATACTGATGGATATATGTATAAGGATTTTTTTTTTTTGCAGTGAGAACTGAATGATCTTCAGTGAATGTTAGTTACAGTGCTGTTTAAAATTTTGTGAACCCTTTTGAATTTTCAATGTTTCTGCATAAATATGACCTAAAAAGTGATCTGTTCTCCACACGTCCTAAAATTAGATAAAGAGAACCCAGTTAAATAAATGAGCCAAAAGCATTGTACTTGTTCATTGATATATTGAGGAAAATGATCCAATGCTACATATGTGTGTGTTTGTGTGTAAGCACCACTGTAAATGATATGATGTAACAAAGACCATGGATATAAATATTAATGTATCAAAGGCCAAGGCAGTTGTGATTGACGTGGAAAATATAGTTATACATAGTTATACATAGATAGCAAGAAATAGAGCAGATAAATGATTTTTGGAATGTTTACTAAATTTGGAAAAATGATGGATTAATGGATTTTAAAATCTTTTCTGAACATTTCAGTCTATTTTCTTTTACTGGTAAATTTTGGTTGCAGTGACACATCTGCTGTAGTAGTATTCAGGTCATGGATGACATGTAACTCATTTTTTCCAACTTTTGATGTAGGCTAAAGTTGCCTGCAGCTGCATCTCTGAACTCCAAGCAAAGCACCAAAAATATATGTTGGTTCAGTCTCCCTTTTGTCAGATTTTAATATTTAATGTCACTTACAGATGAATTATTTAAGCTTCTTTAAAGTATAGAAGAATACAGTGTTTGTATTGTCGAAGGCTTTCACGGCCAGAATACGATGGCTGGTGTGGGTGTGGGTGGTGATGGTGTGGTGTGGTGTGGGCAGACAGTGCTCCTGCCCTCTGAAGATGCCGGTCACAGATGCTGGCGAAACGTTAGGAAACAAAA